CAGCCGCAGGACCATATTTGCTGCACAGCAGCTGCAGGCTGCTGCTCCCCAATGCATATTTGATGACTGCTATTATTCTCATCTCCACTCATGAGCGGAGGGACGAGAGCTAATCTTCCCTCTGCAGAGCCGGGGAGAGCCAGGGAGCGGCTGGGAGGGGCAGCCGGCTCTGGTCCCCCCACCCTTCTCCTGCTCCCTGTCCCTTCCTCCCCTGGTGACACGGCTTGACAGCCCCGCTGCCCCTTCCCGCCACCTCGCAGCATCACGAACTCCAGGGGTGAGCAGCTGGTGAACGGCCCTGACCCACTCCTGCCCCCAAACCAGCGCGAGTCGAGGAGGAGAAATCACAGGGACGTGGCGGTGGGGACACACCCCCCCTCTCACCCGTCTCCAACGCAGGGACCAGCCAGGCACAGAGAAAGATCGAGACACCCACCATCCCGACGATACCAGACCACCCTCTCCTCCTGGAGACCAGCAGGGCACCCCCTCCTGCCGTCCCAAAGAGCCTCAAAGCTTCATCCTCCCCTCCTCCAGTACTGGGTTCCTGCACCAACACCAAACTGGGGACTCTTTTCTTGCAACGATGGAGCCCGCAGCCCTCCCAAACCCAGCGGAGGGGGCGAGGAGCGAGAGCATCCTCCTGCTCCTGCACCACCTGAGCCGGGGAAAAACCTCCGCTCCCTTCTCCTCCAGGCAGACACGTCCCCGCCGTAAACGCGGTGGGTATTTATTATGCTGATTCCTCAGAAAGCGAGGGCTTAACTGCAAATTACAATCAATAGCCCCAATCCCCGAGGGGCAGGTTCATCATTTAGCAGGCGCAACCAGAGGAATTCAAAACTATTTGCCAGCCGTAAATCCTCCTCGCCGCAGCCTCCCGAGCCGGCCCCGCGATGGCTGGTTGGGGTGACCCTTGTCAGCGTTTGAAACAATTAAGCTGTCACCGCTGATGGTGACTCTTTATATACAGCCCTGAGCCGCGCTGTAAGATGTCAGCGTGACGGGGCGAGGGGAGCCGGTTGAGGCGAGCCCGCTGCAGTAACTGTCTCTCATTGAATTAAATGAATGTATTTGGAGTCAGAGTCTCTTTTTATTACCTTGCAAACGATTCCTGACTAAATTAAATTATAAAAGGAGCGTTCAGCCAATCAAACCTGCTTGATTGCCTGGAACAGGCATTTGAAACAAAGCGTGCCTCGGGCGGTTGCTGTTTCCAGGACTAGATGATGGAGGGCGGCTGATGGGCTGTAGCGAAGCCGATTCACCCCGTTTCGCACCCGGAGCGTGGCTCAGCAGCGATGCCCGGCCACGCGGCGTGAGCAGAGCGGGCCCAGGGACAGGGCAGGATCAGGGCAGCCCTCTGGGAGCAGGGTATGGAGCTCAGGAAAGCAGCCAGCAGAAGAGCAGACCACCAGGCAGGCGGCTGAGGGCGGCTTTTTCCGAGCATCATCCGGCCAAGCCGTTCCTCGTGCAACGGGGAAAATGCAGCGTGCTGCTCTTTGCGGGGGGGAAACCCACCGCTCCTGCCTGCAACTGCCCCTCATCCTCCCGGGCAGAAGAAAGCCTTCCTCCAAACACGCTCACAGGCACATCTCCCTTCGCTACCGCCTGCACAGAGGGGGTCTGGCCAACTCCCTAAACCTCGGGAGGCTCCGGTACAACCCTAACGCTGCAGGAGATCCCTCCCCACCTGCCCTTCGGATCTTGCCTTCTCAGGATTCGGAGAGATCTTCAGGCAAACCTGCTCCCACATTGAACTGCAGCGTTTGGGGCTTTTAATGTCAGCGCAGAGCCACCAGGGAAGCCGTCGGGAAGGACGAACGCTGCGATGAACCATTTTCAAACACAGCTATCCGCTTCCTTGCAAAAAAAAGCTACCCTCACCCAAAAAAAAGAAGTTAGCTGCTTCTGGCTTAACTATTTTTACTTCAGCCCCATTCCAAATTTAATCGCGTATCAGTTCATTTTCAACAGGGTAAAAAGCCCAATTGCCTAAACGAAGAGGACGGCTAATTAGAGAGAGGGGTTTTTAACGACAGACTAGGCAATCTGAAACCTGACCACACCGAGAGGGAGGCACCAACTAACCCAGGGCACCTTTCAGCAGGCAATGCCGTGCATTTCAGCCCCATGCAGGCACCCACCATCTCCCCAGCCCCACACACGACCTGGCCTAAGGACGAAGCCCAGTCAGCAGCTCCGGCTGCCCATCCGCGCGCCGGGGCTTGGAGGGGAAAAAGTCAGAAACTCAGGGACAAAACGGAACCAAAGGAACCCTTTTGTGCGGGCAGCTCTGCCTGTGCCACCTTGACAGGAAATTTAAAGGGCAAGTTAATGTGGTGGAACAGCATCCCCCCCCAATTCACACAGAGAAGCGCCTGCTTTCTCCGCCAGGCTCAGGCAGAAGGTGGCTCATTTGGAGCTCGTTCTCCGCTCGCTGCCGGGGCGGGCCGGGATTCGCTCCGCGCTCCCGCTGTGAACAAAGCCAGGGACAAGGAAGGGAACTGACAGAGTTCAAAGTCACCTTCTTCGCTTGGGTATTGTGTGTAATAGCTATTTATCTCCCATCACACCTCATCACGGCCCCTCTTGCAGCCGCTTCGCAATCTATTCCCCCCCTACAACCTCCCGCAACAGCATCCAGGATTCCTCAGGTGGCCAAAGGCAAAAAGGGGAGAGTTAGAAAACACACCAAACCGCCTGCCCGCTGCAGGCAGACGCCTACAGTTCACATGAAATAGCAACTTTTATTTTCTCAAATAAAATAATCCTTCCATTTCTGCTCGATCAGCTTGTGAGGGGTGGGGAGGAGCACAAAGGAGAGGGAAGGAGCCCTGCTCAGACAAGTTTGTGATCAGACCCGTCCTCACAGTTAAGAATCCACATCGGACCGAACCCTTTTCTCAATGAAAGAAAATAAAAGCTATTGGCAACTCTTGATCCCAGCAGGAAAGAGCTGTTCTCTATCAGGCACTCTGAATTGTTCAGCATCAGCATTCAATGAAAAAGCATGATTAGAAAACCCCCAGATTTCTGATGAAAAATATCCAGACAAGCAACAATGTTTAACAGGGCTGGGGTAAAACCCATGGCGTGGGACGGTACTTCATGCTCCAAGAGCCGTTACTGGAATTTAGGGGTATGGCTGAGGAAGAAGGAGGTCCCCAGCAGTACTCTTGGGGACCAACGGGCAGGACAAGAGCAAAGGAGGAGACTCCCAAGACAGCTCCTCGACGAGTGATCTGCCAGAAGGGAATCCTCACGGCAGCCTACGGCTCTGGGATCGTACCCTGCTGCAGTCTGGCCAGGTTAATCGCTCATTAACAAGGTTTCATTTCGCATCTCTCGGTACCAGTCGGACCAGGATGCCCTACAAACCCTACTGCAGAGCTAAGGAGAGGCACAGAGTGCCACGTTTTCATGTTAATTGAGGTGGGACCGTCACAAATTCACCAGGGGTTGTCTCAGATGCAGAGACTGAAGTCTCCAACGGTGAAAGCTACCGAGACAAGGTGTCCAATAAGCAGGGGAGGGAGAAATCTGTTTCTGTTTCAGATCAACGTTTAAATGAAGCGAACGGAGAAGCAGCAAAGCATCAGCAATGTTCTCTCAGCCCTGCCCCAAAGCACAGGGCCAGATTTGTTCACCCAAACCGACCTCCCACTGGTGGGTTAACCCACGGATCCGTGCGCAAACCCTACCAGGGGCAGGACATTGCTGGCTGTGGGAACTGCGTCCTAGAAGAACTGGCTCCTTTTTTTTTTTTATTTTTAACCCACATCACTTGGCCTGAAACGCTGCAAGATGGAAACCCGGCTTCTCCATCCCCACCTGCAAGTACAGCAGCCTCATTTTCTGCCTTTCTCCAAGAGAAGGAGCTTCACAGAAGCTTTCTTGGCTGTGGAACACGTCTCCCTTTTTCTTTTTCCTTTATTTTTTTTTTTCTCTCTTTTTTTTTGTTGTTGTTTTTTGTTTTGCTTTTATGTGGTCAGTTCCAATCCTAGTGAGCAAAGACAAGGCCAGGCACCAGCACAGAGGGTTACTTCTTTACAATCTGAATGACATCTTCATGCTCCATCATATGGGTTAAGCCCACTCTTTGAGGGCTGTATTTTGTGCTTGTCCCCTTTAAAGCAAAAGGGGGAGGAAGGGTTAGGAGGAGGCCGGTCAGAGACACCAGAGAACAGGGATTTCACTTGCTGTCAAACACTTACCCACACCAAGGCATATTTGAACTGGCTGGCTAACGATCTGTGAATTCGATGGCACTGCAAGACAGACAGACAGCACGTGAGGCAGCGCAGTGACACCACTTTGCAAACAACTTGCAACATCCAGGAGCTAGAAGCAGCTCGGGTCTATGTCAGAAGTTGCAGTAGTAACCTCAGGAGCCAGGTAACAGCACTTGGGAGAATCCAGACACACACACACAGTCCATACGAAGCCCCATTCCACTGCTTCCATGCGGTTTTTTTCACCGGACTGTGTTTAAGTAATTCTTTTTAACACCAGCTAGGGAAGCAACCCGAGGCAGAGAGCATCAATAAAGGTAACAAAAGGAGAAGCCCAACTAAACTCTGACACGTCCTGAGCTTTACGAAGCACAAATCACAGCAGGCTCCAAGAGGAACCTGACTTCTACAGACAAGGAAACACAGAAGATGCAGAGAAATTACCACATGTTCCACCGAGGCCCCTTTCCGCAGAATAATGGCATCTGTAAAGTCTGGTCTCTCTGTGGAGAAGCAGGAGAGGGGAAGCATTGAATTTCCATCAAGTGTGTCCTAACGTGCTGACGCCACCTCACACTGCCTCGTGCTTACTACCCCCAAATCCCTCCTCCCGTTACACTCGCCAGCTCCCAGGCAGAACAGGTACTTGAAAGCACCAAATCAGTTCTGCAGATACTCCAGCACCTACAAGTGCGGTTATGCGCAGCCACACAGTCAACAGCTTCCTCACCATCCACCCAACTCCACTCCAAATACTCGACTCAGGACAAACCAACCCACCCAAGTCAAACCACTCTGCAGTTTTCTGTAAACCCCCCCCCCCCCCCCCCAAGATTTCATAGATTAACAAGATCACAGAACGTTCCTCAATCCCCTCCCATCCACCCAAGTTCAGTCACGGCTGTTCACAACCAAACAGGAACAAGTTACAGACGTGCCTTCACCACTGGGAGAAGCTGCCATGGAATTCTAAAGCAAAAGGG